GGGTCCTGCACTTGGGTAACAACAACCCTGTGCAGCGCTACAGACTTGGGGAAAAGTGTCTGGAAAGCTGCCTGGCGGAAAAGGACCTGAGGGTGTTGGTCAACAGCCAACTGAACATGAGCCAGCAGCATGCCCAGGTGGCCAAGGCCAAAGGCATCCTGGCCTCTATCAGAAACGGTGTGGTCAGCAGGACCAGGGAGGTCATCCTTCCCCTGTACTCAGCTTTGGTGAGGCCGCACCTTGAATACTGTGTCCAGTTTTGGGACCCTTATTAGAAGAAGGACATGGAAGTGCTGGAGCATGTCCAGAGAGGGGCAACAAAGCTGATGAAGGGGCTGGAGAACAAGTCTTATGAGGAGCGGTTGAGGGAGCTGGGGTTGTTTAGTCTGAAGAAGAGGAGGCTGAGGGGAGACCTTATCACTGTCTACAACTACCTGAAAGGAGGTTGTAGTGAAGCGGGTGTGTGTCTTTTCTCCCAGGTAACTAGTGATAGAACAAGAGGCAATGGCCTCAAGTTGCCCCAGGGGAGGTGCAGATTGGATGTCAGGAGAAATTTCTTCACTGAAAGGGTTATCAGGCAATGGAACGGGCTGCCTAGGGAGCTGGTTGAGTCACCATCCCTGGAGGTGTTTAAAAGATGGCTAGATGGGGTGCTTGAAGATATGGTTTAGTAGTGGATAGGTATGATCTCAAAGGTCTTTTCCAACCAGGCGATTCTATGATTCTATATATCTACTCCCCCATGAGTTGATAGTGCTCTCTTGGGACTGAAGTGTTTGCACTTTACTGTCTTTGATGCCTCAAGGACTTTTTTCCTTTAGTTCTTGTAAAGCTAACTGAAAAATGACAACTGAAAACCAACAATTCTGCTTTGTTGTTAGTTCTTGTTTTTCACTGGAATGTTGATTTTCAACAAAAAATCTGAACTGAAATGTAAGCAGAGGACATTGCTAAAGAAAGTGGGGATCCCAAAGTTTTTGGCAAATTTAAAGCATTTCTCTGATGAGATTTCTGATGTTATTCCTGATGCTTTAAAAGAGACAACTGCAGCTTTACAGTTGTCATATACAAACATAAATTGAATAGAAAAATCAGTTTATGCTATTAATAGTTGTGCAGTCTTAAATTACTTCCCCCATTTCTGGTAATTGCTTTATAAAGTTACCTTAGATATAATGTGCGCTAATAGCATTTTCCCTAGAAAATCATAATGAGAGTTATTTTAATATTCAGAACGTTCCCCAGTGAACAAAAACTCTTCAGCATTTTCTTTAGTGTGTATTGGAATAGGCTTTGATCTACATCAATCATTAAGCAATTTAGATAGGTCTTGGCATTTATCATAATATGTATTCTTCTTTATCAAAAATTAACATTAGATTAAAAACTGAATAGTGGAAGATGTCAATTCATTATTTCTAGAAAAGGGGTACAATATTAGTTTTGGTTTTTAATACAAGATCACAACTTCAAAATAGACATCTGTGTTGTTAATTTTTCATTTGAACTGTATGCTATCTAATAAAACCAACAGCCAGTTCTCTAAAAACAAAAAATGGAAAATAAACATGATGTTAAAAATTGTTGGTTTTGATAGTTTGGATCATGAAGTGAAGTATGTCCTCTGTTATGCAAGTGTCAAATTAGATATTTAATGACCTGTTCTGGCTTCAAAATCTATGAATGCTTCATAATTGAACATACAGTTTTGAGGAAGAAAAAAAGTCTAAAGGCAATTGTTCATAAACACTTTTTTGACTGCTATAATTTCTTTTTCTAGTTCACACTGCTTTTATTTTGTCTTTATTTGGTGTGGTATGCAGATTTACTTATACTTAAATAAAATAAAACCTAACAGCTGTTTCTCTTTGCTGCTGCATTAAAAAGAAAGTTGAATCTTATGGACCCAGAACTACTTGAAGTCAAATATTGCAAAGCCACCTTCAGTGTCACTGCTGCAGACAGTAGAGTAGGCTACTAAGAATTTCAGGGAGAGACAAAAATGTTTGCAAACCTTGTAACTATTGAAAGGATAGACTTGACTTCACTGTGAAATAATCTGTTTTCTTGTGCTCTTAAAGGTTGTAAAAATCAGAAACATGTCTTAAGACCAGAGTCTCTTGAAGGAACAGATGAAGAGGATCCAGTTACAGCGCTGGAGTGGGACCCTTTGTCAACTGACTACCTTCTTGTTGCTAATTTACATAATGGTATTCGACTTGTTGATTCTGAATCTCTGTCCTGTATCACAACTTTTAATTTTCCCAGTGCAGCAGCATCTGTTCAGTGTTTAGCGTGGGTTTCTAGTGCACCTGGAATGTTTATAACTGGAGGTAAGCCTTTTATTTCCCAATTTATACAGAGGTAATAAATAAATATAGGACTTTGTCTTCAAAATTGGTACTTTGTTTGATCTTTCTGTTTCTTAACATTTCCACAAATAAAATCATACATGCATTGTACAAAAAAATCCCCCATAAAACTGTAGAACTTTAGAAAACTACACTGAGCAGTTTTTACTTATTTTGGGGTTTTTGGTACATAAACAAGTGTCTTTAAGGTATTTTTTATACTAAATGATATTTTCCTCATGCACACTTTAGGAAGAAATATGACAGTTCCTTTGGGAATAGGAGTAAAAATGTATTGTACTAGTGGATGTGATTTATTGCTCCCCAGCTTTTCTTTCTCTATTTTCAGAAGAATTAAGGAAAAAAAAAAAAAAACAACAAAAAAAACCCCAACAACAAACCTGTCTCCTGCCTCTTTTATACACCGTAGTTGTTAGTGCTTTCTTGGGACTGAAGTGTTTGCACTTAGTTAGGTTGAAAAACTAATGAATAAGTATAGTAAGACTGTAAGAATATGTTATAATGAAAAAGTTCCTATAAAGTTTATCTACTGAAGTAACTAATGCTAATAATTATTGTTATTCATAGTGATACTACCATGGAGATGACAGTGCCTGCTTAAAAAATTCTTCTTAGGATTCTAAGTTTAACTCATTGTATTTCTACTTAAATCAATGCTTAAACTGCATACCTCTGTGTACAGTAAAAAGATAATAATAAATCAAAAAAATGTATCTGTATGTTTTTTTGAACCTCAGATTCTCAGGTTGGTGTGTTACGTATTTGGAATGTTTCGCGTACAACACCTATAGATAATTTTAAATTGAAGAAAAGTGGTTTCCATGGTTTGCATGTGCTAAGTTCTCCTCCAAAGAAAAAGTGTAAGTGTAATTTTTATTGTTATTTATTGCAATGGCTACAAGAGAATCTTGTTTGTGAATCTTTTTATATCCAAGCTGATCTTTGTGTCAGCTCTATAGTTCTTAATTAAACAAAGTACCCTATGGTGCCAGTTGACTAGACAAATGTGTAAAGGATCAAGCACTTTATCAGGTCCTTCTTTAGTAGGCCAGGCTTCATACAGGAAATCTCCATTTATTTTGTTTTTAATCTCATTGGAATACAAAACATTTTACTATTTATAGTTGTTACTGATTATTAAATGAAAAAATAAAAAATAATCTTATATCTTTTATTTCTTTTGCTTTATGCTGTTAAGCATGTTCATCACAGTATCCTACTAAAAATCACCATACATCCTCAACAAGTGAGGCTATTCCTCCTCCAACTTTTACCCAAAACCAAGCATTTTCTCTTCCTCCTGGTCATGCTGTCTGTTGCTTCATGGATGGTGGAGTGGGGCTTTATGACATTGGAGCCAAAAAGTGGGATTTCCTTAGAGATTTGGTACGTTTTATCTCTGTCTTTGGAATGAGAGTCTATTTGGCTTATACACTTTCTTCTAACAGCAAAAATCAGAGAATGAAGTCTTGACAGCACTGTTAAACAGTTTCTATCATTAAAAAGAGTCTGAATTTCTGGGAAACAAAATGACAGTTCTGAAGTTGAAAGTAATTCTTTAATGCAAAAGACCAAATCCTGTTGGAAGTATTCTGGCAATTTTCATCCCGATATAAAGATTTAAGGGTTTGAGGTTTGTTTTAACTGAAATTTTAATTTGATGGCCTTCTCAGAAATATTATCTGGAGGGTTTTCTATAATCCGGAATAGTCAAATCAGAGAGAAAATATATGCAACTCAGATGGTAAGGTCATTCAGTTTAAAATGGCAAAACCTGAATTCTTAAATCTACTTTGAAGCAGAAATTAACAACTTAGTTTATCACATATTAGGTGAGCCGCCTTTTCACTGAGGTTTTGTTTATTCTTGAGGATTTTTCTCTTTTCATTTTTCCCCATTCCCTTTTCATTGGATAAACTTGGATAGTTTTTAGCTGTACTCCCATATATGTCTGAATAGGGGCTGCTGGTTGGTGTTCTTTTTCCATTTTTAATGGTTTTGGACCTGGAAAGCAACTGAGGCTTAAAATAGTTCTTACATATTGTCTGTTTCTCATGTATGTGTCAAGTTAAATTCTACAAATGCATGTCTCGGAAAACAAGCAATTGATATATGAAATTTCTAATGGATTGAAGATTAAACTGAAACAGAGCATAGAGTGTATTTTGAACATAGAAAACTCAGTGGCATACTAGAAAACTGGTAGAGCATGGTTAACATACCAAACTTTACTTTTTCAGTCATATACTTTTTAGCTAAATGGCAACATTATTTCTGTTTAAAAAAAATATTTTTTCTTGTTTGTTTGTTTGTTTTTTTTTTAACTTTTTAAGTTCTGGTTTTTAGTAACTTGTTTCCAATGGAAAATGGTAACAGGTCCCTCTCCATTGTATCACCCTATTGTTTCAAGGCAGAATTTTTCTGTCTTTAATAGTGATCTATGAAAGGGAGGAATGTTATACTCCAAGCTATTTTATGCTTTTTAATTTTGACTGATGAGCCATGTTTTTCTGAACTCATAATTGATCTAACGTTACAATACAGTGTAGTTTAGAGTTTGATCTAGAGTTGGACTTCTGAAAAAAAAATCAAATGTAATAAAAATGGATTAAATATTTGTTTCATTTAAGGGACATGTTGAGACCATCTTTGATTGCAAATTCAAACCTGATAACCCTGATCTTCTTGCTACAGCTTCATTTGATGGCACAATAAAAGTTTGGGACATAAATACTTTAACAGCAGTTTACACATCTCCTGGTAATGAGGGGGTTATTTATTCCCTTTCTTGGGCTCCAGGTAAGAATATTTTGCTTTAGGTCTAAATGTTGTTTGAATTAACATTGACCAGTAGCAATTTGTGTTCTAAAAGTATTAGTTTTAGATAGAAGCATATCTTACAGTGTTTAAACATAACAAATATTAGTCATGAAACTTATAGAATTCAGTGCTTCAGACCTTAGTGAGGCTTACCCTTATGAAGAATGATCTCAGTGTTTCACACTGAGTCAGAAAGGAGGGAGGAAAATCTCCAGAGCCTTTCTAGCATTACATTATGCAGACAATGAAAAGGCTTTCTTTTCATGGCATGCAGCTGATTAAAGGGATTCAGATTGTATTATGTGCTGAAAAAGAACTATACGTATATGTTTAGTTCTTTCTCTTCCCTCTTTGTGTAGGATTCTAATCACTGAAGAGTTCTGCTTGTACCGTATTAGAACAGGGAGTACCTTTTCTGCAAAGCATCTACTTCTTCATAGAGAAGTTACTGAAGTCAGTGGGAAATTTTCTTCTTAAAACTGTTCTGCAACCCACTTAGGTGAACCTGGGAGTACATTTCTCATAGATACTAATATCAATAGTTGGTGATAGGTAGGCTTTCTTGTTGTGTTGTGTTTTAATTCTTTGACAACAGACACATTTTTTTAAAAAAGTCTAAATAATTCAACTCACTGCCTTTCTCTGCTATGCTTTAAAGCTCTAAGAAATAATAGCTGACAGGAAAAAAATATTGTGATGGAAGCTTAATGTAGTTTGCATATGTGAAATGAATTTGCACTTTTTTCAATTCAGAGGGTCTCTTGCACCTTGTTCCTCTTCACAGATAATTGTTATTGCTATATAGAACTTATGGCAATATGAAGTATGATGTTTTCTGTTATTTTGTTTTGAAATTTAAATTCAGTTTGTAGTAATACCTCACACTGAGAGAACAGCTTGTTCACTGAGGGAGTACTTTTCAAGTCTTGTATTCTGATTTTCTGATTTTATTTTTTTTTTCCCTAAAAAAGGTAAATTAAAGCTAATTGGAAGGATGTACTTTGACTTCAGATCCTTGCCTTCCTGTCCAAAAGTTCCTGTCCATCCCAGACAGAACTTTTCCTGCTTCTTTCACATTTCTAGAGTTCCTCTCCACCTCGTACTATCATTTATCTTCATTCCTAATATGTAATCCAATGCATATCATCACTTGTATTTGGTCTCAAAAGACCTTTGAATGTAGTGATTATTCTTTTTTAATTTTTTTTTTCCTATCATTCTCCTACCTGAATCTCTTTCCATCTTACATATGTACCTTTCTAGACTCCTCCTGCATGGATCGCCTTTTCTGCTTCTGAAGTGTGGTATATTCTGATTTTCTACCCTGTAGTGTCATTACAGGTTCAAGTACATTCTTAATGGGCTTAGATGCTGCAGTAGTGCAAGATTAAGAAAACAAAGTACTGCTGTATGTTCTATCGCATTCTTCATGATTTGTCTTAGTACATAGGGAACTTAAAAAGAAAATGCTCTAGTTGCTACAACTTTAAGCTTGAAACATTGAGGTTATACCTCTCTTTCAGTTTGAGTCATATGCACCATGGACATTATTTTCTTGACACCTTAACTGCAAGACTTTCAGAGGCCTTTGAGAATACTTTATGCGACAATACAACTTTTATTTTACTCTTTCCTCAAAATAGGAATGTAGAAAAGCAGGTCAGGTTTTTGTTATATTTGTATTTGTGACTTAGTATCAAATGCTGACCTTAAACTATGAAAAACTCTTGTTTATATGCCATTGATGCCTTCTGTTTATATTAAATTTCTTAAATTCAAAATAGAAAAATATTAGTCAAACAATATTGTGATCCTATATTTATTGTAAGATCTTACAAATATCTTTCTCCAAAGGAGATCTGAACTGCATAGCAGGTGCAACATCCCGAAATGGTGGCTTCATCTGGGATGTCCCAAAAGGCAAAATAATAACCAGATTCAGTGAGGTAAGATGAGATTGCATCTTTTTTTGTCTAAATGAAATGTAAGTTAGTCATTCCCTCTAGTGTAAATAAATAAAGATAGGTCAAAGTTCATATGTTTTTAAAAAGTGCTATAATACAAAAATCTATAGAAAGAATTGTTATTATTTATCTCTGAGGTAGAGGTATTTTTACTTCCTCAGACTGGGTTTGTGACATAAGAATGATGAAGCACCAGATCTTACAATCAGTCCTGTAGTGATACATGACAAAAGCAGAGCTGATTCTTTCTTAAACTAAAGTCTACATGTATATGGAGATATAGACTTTAAACTCGGTGTCAAAATGTAAAGTTACGTTCTGTATTTTCAAACGTAAGGTCCAGTAAGCTTTTGCAGTCCGTTAAGTCTAGACCAATAAAACTCTATTTTGCAGCACACTAAATAGTGTGCCTTATTTAGCAGCTTGCCTTGTATTACCTGAAATCTATGTAGGCATTTGCAAGTCCTGAAACAGGAGCATAACTGTTATTGGCAAAAGGACATATTTAATACTATGTTGTAGTATGCCATACTATTTTGTATATTCTTAGTATAAAGCTGTAATCTTCAGATTATACAGACATAATTAACTGTGGCATCTGCATCAGAGGGCAAGGATGCTTTTTAAGAAGACAGAGATGGAGGTGAGGGGTGGCAGAAAACAAAAATACGTACATTCAGGAGTTCCTGAGTCCTAACACTCAGAAGATTTGCACTTGTGCTGCTAAACATCTTTTTTCAAACACTTATCCTGATACACATCCCACTTAAGTTTTCACGTACCATAATTATTCACACCTACTAACTTCATTATTCCAACAAGTAGCTAACCTTTATTAAAGATTCAGGTTCATATAATTATGGGGTGCTCATTCTTCAGCTGAGCCCAATTTTGTCTCTTGGATCCTGGAGAGAATGGCAGTTTTACTGTCTCTGTCCTCAGTCCCAGTTTTTTGGACTTGGATTCTCAAATATCCCAGCTACATTGGGAACTCATTATAATTTGTTTTTATACAGTATACTTCACTGGGAGAAAAGGGATGAAGCCCGTAGGAGAATAAAATGAAAAAGATGAGTCAATAGATGAGAGAAAAAGGGGTGAATTATTTCTTATTGATAGGTATTTTGCATTTTTTGAAGCATGGAAAGAATGGAATCTTCTGCATTGCCTGGAGTCATAAAGATTCCAAAAGAATAGCAACCTGCAGCAGTGATGGATTTTGGTGAGTGTTACTGGAAGGAAAAAAAAATGCTAAATGCACTTCTCAAGTCAGTGAACTTTGACAGTACTATCAGTGATTAATTTTAAAACTGTTCTTACTGGCCAAAACTTGGATTATATTAATCTTCTGTACTTGTTAGGATATATATTTCATGATTTTAAGAAAAAAATAAAGGAAATGTGTGCAAAGGAATAGTGTCTAAGACACTCTGATAGTGAAATTGCATATTGATTTTTATTTAGCCAAGAATATTCTAAGTTTCTAATCTGTAAATATGGAGGATGCTTTTCAAAAGTTATCCCACTTTACTTGTCTTAATTTTTTTAATTTTTTTGAAGTCTGTTATTTCAAGGACTAGGAATCACTATTTTAGAACAAAGTAATAGAAACTGTACTATTACAGAAGTGTAATAGTTTATTGGTAAAAACTTGCAGATGCACATTGACAACAATTTTGCGTGTATTGTGTTTCAGTACATTTTAAAATCCTTGTTCATTCTTTTCCTTTGCTACTCATGTTATTTCAGCTCAAACATAACAAGAGCATGGATTTTAGAAAACAATCAACTTTTTTTTTTCCCCCTTAAATCCCTAAAGATCTATTCGTATCTTAAAGCCATAGCTACAGCTTAGATTTTGGACTGTGAGAATCCTTTGAGGGAGGGAAGTACCACAGTGGATATCTTTACAGCCCCTCTGAAGGAATGTGGACTCTGAAGTCCAATTAAATGTTTTGTTGGGAAATTTATAGTTACCCTTGTAGGGCTGTAGGAATAAAGATTTCTCATATTCTTTCTGTATACTTTTTATTGCTATCTGGCTTATTTGCACAGAATCAAACTTGACTTTTGAATAGCCTACTCGGAATACTCTTTTCCTCATAATATTACATTGTAATTGGTTTCAGTATTATTCGAACCATCGATGGCAGGGTTCTTCACAAGTACAAACATCCAGCTGCAGTGTTTGGCTGTGATTGGAGTCAAAACAACAAGTAAGTAAAAATTAACCCAAAGAATTAGTAATATTTACTATTAAAATTGATTACCAATAAAATAACACAAAGTTATTTAGAATGTGATATTTACTGTCATATTAAAGCACTGAAATAATTTTTGTTCCACAGTAGGATATGTCTGATATTCCCAGTACTGTATTTCATTGCCCAGCATGTTGAGTATGGACAAGGACAACTTAACTTTCAAAAGAGGATCTTTCATATTGATGGGCCAAAAAAAAAAAAAAAAAGCAGACATTCAATACCAGGAAAGGGGGGTTTAGTTTGTAGTTTGGCTTCCTTTTAATGACAGCTAAGCTGAAGATATAGCAGGCAACTAAATGCACTGTGTTTTATTTTAATTTTACAGATAATTCCTAGTAACAAATGAGAACTTTTTGCCAAAAAACAATTATACAGTAATTAAATATATTTGTAGTTCTGTGTTGGGTGCTTGGTCAGACTATAGTGCAAATACTATTCCCAGTTGCAACTAATGGATCTTTATCAGGTTTTTTTCTAATTTAGTATATGTAATTGAGTTACCAATAATTACATCATAAAGAGACAAAAGAGAAGCAAAAATAAGCTATTTTTTTAAGTAAATTGAAAAATATGCATCGTATGTATTTTTAAACTAAAAAAAAACCCTAAGTACTTTTGGTTATCCTAGTAACTGAGGATGTTACTATTTTTATTTTGCAGAGATATGATAGCTACTGGTTGTGAGGATAAAAATGTTCGTGTTTACTACTTGGCAACCAGCTCTGATCAGCCACTGAAAGTTTTTACAGGGCATACTGCAAAGGTATTTCATGTACGGTGGTCCCCTCTGAGAGAAGGAATCCTCTGCAGTGGCTCTGATGATGGGTGTGTATTTCTGAACTATGAGAAGACTTGAAACCTCAAACAGGATTATCAGAGAAACTTAAGATCTTTAGTCATAGTGGTGCTGGTACCTTCAAAAACTCTGTGAATAATACAATAATATAAATCTCTGCCTTGTTCAGATTCAGGCTGTAGCTTTGCTGTTAGTTTAATATAGTATTTGGGCAGCAGGATAATTACTGGAAAAACATGCTGCCATGAGTGAGCTTTGCTAACATATTTAATAATGTAATAAAATATAACCAGAATTACAATGATCTTTCCAAGAAACTGAAATTTTAATTTTCTAATTCTGTAGTCTGATCAGTTAGCTATTCCCAGAGTTAGCAAGAACTGAAAACAAAAGGAAATGCTGGAAACTTACTTGGTTAAAAGGGAAGAAAAAAAATAGTGATAAAGCTGGTATGAATTCTTCCTCATTGCTTGTGTAATTGTGGCGGGAGTTTCACAGTCTAAGATAGTGTGGTGTCTACTTCTGCCATGTGACGAATGCCATGTTCAAATGAGAGAAGAGAATTGATAAGATCCCCTCTCAGTCTTCTCTTCTCCAGGCTGAAGAGTCCAAACTCTCTCAGCCTTTGTTTTTCTTTATTATTTTTCCCCTTGAGAGTCCTAACAGACATATTTATTACACATGCAGGCATATGGGCAAATTTAGTTTCTCTCATTGACATGTAAGATAATGGTGTATGTGAGATTTTGAAAAACTGTGCAGTTGTCAGAATAGTTTCTTGCTCAGGTGGACTGTCTTTGGTGTATTTTGTGTGCCATCCTAAACATGAAGGGTATTGGCTCCAACCTCTCCCATTACAACTTTGAAAACATATTGCAAATAAATATTCTGATAAATTTGAAGCTTAGAATATTGCTGCAGTAGAGAGTCATATTTCAGGAGGTCATTTGATGGACATCGGTCTTTTTCATCCTGTTTCAGTACTGTTCGAATATGGGATTATACACAGGATGCCTGTATAAATATTCTTAGTGGACATACAGCTCCAGTACGGGGACTGATGTGGAATCCTGAAATTCCTTACCTTCTCATATCTGGCAGCTGGGACTATACAATTCGAGTCTGGGACACAAGAGATGGAACATGTTTGGACACAGTTTATGACCATGGTGCAGATGTATATGGTAACATTTTTTAAATTTGTTTTATTCCTGTATTGAAATGCATTTTTAAATATTTTAAAATTTATAAAATAATTTAATCAAACTGGTTATTAGATAAACTTAATTATTTTACTACATTTTTAAATGCCCTCTCTATTAGGATTAACATGTCATCCTAGCCGTCCATTTACTATGGCATCTTGCTCTCGTGACTCCACTGTGAGACTCTGGTCATTGACACCTCTTATAAACCCTCTACAAATAAATATCTTGGCAGACAGATGTTGGGATGAGATTATTGGTAATACAGGTAAGTAAATTGTATACACCATTGTTTTAATTTTCTGTATGTTGCTATACTTTTTTTTCTTAAAAAAAAAAAAAAAATGTGTATAAATCTTTGTGTGTGTTAGATCGTGCTGTGGAATCTGGTGCTCCTCCTTTGCTGTGTGGTAAAGTTTCCAGGGATATTAAACAAGAAGTGGAAAAATTGACAGAAAATCCTCGAGGAAAAAAACTAAGGTGGTTTTCAGAATGTTTTTCAGTAAGTATTCTGCAAACTTAAGGATGTTGTCAGTGTGCATGACTTTCTCTTCTGAAATCAGTCTCCAAACCTGAAATTTCATTCCCAACATTTTTTTTCTTAAAGTGAGCTCAGAAAAGATACAGAAATAAATTCTACTCTTAACAGTTTTGCATGTAAAAATGTACAGGACTGAATTGTTCATCAGTTGTGAACACTAGTTTTTCACAAAGTGAAATAGGTTGGATATTAATTTTCTGTAGGAAAAGCTTGATGTGATAAGAATTTTCTACTGAAGTAAATTAAAATATGTGTTTTATCAAACTGCATTGGAGTTTTTAATTTTAATCCATCAAAGGGACACCCTCATTACGGATGTTTTTAACTCCCCAAGTGTCTGTGCCAAAACTGCTGTATTACCTTCTAGGAGCTGTAGATCTGGATGACCCGTGCCCCAGTATCCACCTATTGCCTTTGCTCCATTGCACAGCAATATTTCCTGTAAATCACTGCAGTCTCTTTGTGCGACTGAATTTAAAATATAAACTATTGGGTCCCTGTGAGTGCTTACCTGCATAGGACCTGAACTTGAGGTATAACAAGGACAAAAATGACCTAGAACTACAGCCTGTGTCAAGCACTGTTGTAATTTAAGTCAATACACTGATCTACAAGGACCTAGTTCATGCAAAATATTTGTTTTGATTTCTAGCTAAATTGAAGTATATGATTTAGAAATGCAGAAAAAATCTTCCTCAATTGAATCTTGACATTTTGTGTTTTATTAAAAATATATTTTTACAGAATTCCTTGTTTTACAGAAGTTATGCATTTTGATGTCCCTTGTTGATTTGCAAGTAAAACTTTTAGAAGAATATTAGAATTTCCAAGAACAAAAACTTTCTTTGATCAGCTGTGTTCAGTGCTTTTTGAGTCCAGAAAATAAAGTGTTATGCTTAAACTGTGGGGAGTCAAGTAAGAACTTTAGCGACTGTAAAAAGGATTAGTATCTTTTTTTTTTCCAGCTCAGAACTGATTTGACTTCTAAACTTACAGTCCTGTTATTCTTAGAAAAGCTCCTTCAGGTCAAAAGTTTAATATTTATTTTTTAAAACTTTTAATTGCTCACTCTCTTCTAGACCTCACTGAATGTTAAACCACTGTCCTAGTTCCACGGAAGGATTGGTTCAGAAGTTAGACCAATAAAAATGCTTAAAATTTATTTTTTAAAAAATCACCTGGTGCATATACAGTTGCACCATATGTGTCTATTTTAAGATTTATCATTAAGATAGTAAAACAGATTATGGTAGTTAAAGTTATTTTATTTTTCACCTGGCCCATGCCTTTGCTTAACAGAAAATTCTAAACAAGTAGTGGGGCAGCTCCTGCATCCCATCAGCTGAATGTTGTATTCCTTTGGGAGCAAAAGGGAAAACTCTTAATGGCAAACTCTCAACTATGCCCACACATAACCAAATACTTATGTTCACGGATCTTGCTGTGTCTTCAAAGCCTTCAAGAAGACTGAAGGAGTTGTAGTATCTTGAACTAATTCATATCATCATAGTAAAGCTTCTAATATTGAAACTGTCTGAAATTGTATTTCCTGTAATTGACTGATGAATGTTTTCCAATATCTTTGTAAGTTCAAGTTTTTCTCTTGAACGTTACTGTAATAACAACTCTTTTCTTCACTAACAATTTTAGCCTCCAGGAGGCAGCAAGAATTTATGGGATTTAGTTGCTGTAATAAAAGGACAGGATGACAGTTTGCTTCCACTAAACTACTGCAAAGGAATTATGCATATGAAACATCTCATTAGATTTAGAATGGTAAGTGAAGCATAAACAGTATGTGTAAATGATTGTTAATCTATATAGTATTTTACTCTTTAAAAATAACATTTGATGCTTTACAAAAGGGTCACAATTTATTCAATGTCCAAAGATATTTTTGCAGTATCAGTTCTCTGTGTCATGGTAGTCTATTAGAACAATTAGCATCTAGCTAAGTCTGGGTAACTTAATGGATACTCAGTTTTAAAATGCCAAGTTACAGTTATTAACTAGAAAAGCAGTTTTCAAAATAATGAAAAGCAATTGTAAAGCATCCATCACTACAGTTTGAATGTTGAAGTGAGTTTGTCTTCCCTATTATATATACACATATATATGGTACTTTTATATTCAGTAAAGTCAAACTATTTGCTTCTATAAACATGAAGTTTGTAGTTATGTTCAGATGCAGGGGAATTAATGTCTGAAAATGGAGGACAGTCATCAGGAATAAGCTCTGTAGCTGTCTGGAAGAAGGAGTAGAAAAGCAAGAACCTGTCATTAATAGAGATATGCAGATGAAGAGTGACTGAGGTGTGAATGTGAAATTCAAGTACTAGGCCATGAATTTATTAGTAGCTGCATAAATGAATATGCAAACAGGCATACAATTTGTGCAGAATATGAGGATACATGGTTCTGTCACGGACTTCCTAGAATACTAAAGAATCCCATACTCTAATTTCTGGGTTGGAAATAGAGGAAAGATATCTATTGTACGGATCAGGAAATGCCTAAGTCCCCACCTGCCACCCCCAGGGCTAAATACCTGCCAGCCATCCCCCCTTGTTTGCTGTTGCAGGCTGTCTCTTGCAAAATCACCCTTTAAGAGTGTTCTACATACCTTATGACTCTTAAGTGATAGAAATTTTTTAACTGTAATAATAGCAGCTGCTCTGCTAATGCTATGAAGCTGGGGGGTTGTGGGGGAGTGTGTGTCCAAAAACCAGTTTTCTCAGCCAGTTAGCCTGAGAAAAAGAAATTAATTCTTGACTCATGCAGTGCAAGCAGTCTGATTATCCCTGCAACATGATTTCATACATTTATAACTCAGGTAACCTAGAGTAACTGCATGTGGACCTGGATTAAATGTTCACATTAATTAAAAGCATTTTGTCCTCTTTTTGCTGACTCAGAATCTTGCTTGAGAACTTTAAGATAAAGTAGGCATAGGATGATGCTGGCTGCATGTGTGTGGCTGCTAATACCATTTTTACCTTAGGAAAATGGATAATGGCATTGCAGCACCTAGACATTTCAGGATGAAATAGGGTCCTACTGCAAGTGTATTTTTCTCTTTCTAGCAAACAGAGAGGATATGTTGACGACTTCAACATAAAAATAAACAAGATAGAGGTGCCAATTAAAAAAGTAATATAGTTTGTTTAAAAAAAAACAGGTCCTTTGCCTTTCTGAGTGGCAGATTTTAATGTTAAACATGAACCTGTTGCAGCTTTTATCTCAGACTCTGCCAGATGGAGAAATTTAGTCTTGTCTCTTCAACTAATACAAAGATTGCAGCGATTGGGAATATAAATCATTTATTTGTCATAAGGTTAATGGGATAAGACACATCAGGACATAGGTTGAGCCTACTGTCTTTATTCTTTCTTTATTTGGACATAATTATAATGGTGATAAGTGCGATTTCTGGTTCATGGTTTGTGTTCACAATTTTTTTTTTTTTTTGAAATGTCAAAAATATCAAGATTTTTATGATGGACATCTGAGTGAATTACTATTACATATGAGAAAATGGTTGAGAATTTTTTAAAAAAGGGATTAAAGGAAGATAATCGAGGAAAATGTATGTGTGCAACAAAATACTAACACGGTGACTTTAACAGTATAAATAGTTCACTATAATCTCATTATAATCTCTTCTAATTAGCCTTTTCTAAAAAGGATTCTTTTCTTAATTGATAGCCTTTATATTCCATTGTAATGTTTGACACTAGTTTTCATCACATAAAACTGTATTTTTTTTTAACCTTTTTTTTGTCTCCCTCAGTCCAAGGCACAAGAACTGACAACAGTAAAAATGTCCAAGTTTGGAGGTGGCATTGGTGCACCAAGCAAAGAGGAGAGGCTTAAAGAAGCTGCAGAAATACATTTAAGATTAGGACAAATTCAGCGATACTGTGAACTAATGGTAGAACTTGGAGAGGTAAAATATCAGAACATTATTGGAGAAAAATAAAATAACAAAGGTTTCTGAAAACCAGCTGCCCTAGCAAAGCTGGGGTAGCAACAAAATGGGTCACAAGTCCAGAAAAGAGCAATCTTGCTCCAGCTGCATTATTTTTAACATATATAGTCTAATGCATAGCTCATTCCTTAATTAACCTCTCAGCAAATTTATTTGTAATGGCAGAAACATGAAACTAGTTAAAAATACAGCTGTTTCCCAAAATAAAATGGTCAGATTAAATGTATTGCTTCTTTCTTCTAGTGGGACAAAGCTCTCTCAGTTGCACCTGGTGTATCGATGAAGTATTGGAGGAAGTTAATGCAAAGGTAAGATAATAAAAATATGATGCTGAATTGTAGCTTGTGTCAGTAAAAGGACACAGACAAGTAGGAAGGATGGATACCAGTATCAGTTGCACTTAGATTTTATTACAGCATTCCAGTGATGTTACTTTTTGTTCAATAAGCTTTGGGATGGAACTGTGGAGATTTTCAGCAATCATCTAACACCTATACCGTAGAGATAAGTTTAGTGATCAATTATATATGCAGATCTTTCTTTTTTATTTATTCATTTGTTTAATTAGGAGAGCTGATCAGTTAATTCAGGAAGAAAATGATGATGTCATCCCATACTGTATAGCTATCGGAGATGTGAAGAAACTAGTTTCCTTCTTTACTTCAAGAGGCCAGCTTAAAGAGGCTCTGCTTGTTGCACAGGTATTATTATATATAACAGTGTAGGAGATGTATTTAGCTATTCATTTCTAACTCTGAAGATGACAAGTGTGTTTAAAAGCCTAGCTCTGTTCACTTTTGCAAAGTGGCTAAGTAATGATACACCACTCTTTACTTTTGTATTGTATTGACCAATTTTTATGCAGAAATCATAAAAAGGTATCTCACACTTACAGATTTTAAGCGTGATTCTTCTAAATTGCAATCCAATGCCCATAATGAAACCTGGTGTGTTCATTTTTGGTTGAGGTAGAAAATTAACCTGATTTTCAGCAGTAAGTATTGCCCTTAACATCTAAGGCACGTAGGATTTCTCTTGCATTTCTACTGAGGTCTTGTTTGTACTACCTCCTATAGAATCTTTGGGTGAAACTGCTTAGTTGCAGTATGTTATGAGTTGACCCTGGCAAACGCCAATACACAGTAGTAATCAATATAGGAAATCAAACTTTTAAATTGATGCAAAAAATGTTACAAGAGATTACCAAAAGCACATGTCCCTTCTGCTTCCTAATATTCCCTATTCCTAATAAAATGCAGTTAAATTGTGCACAAAACACGAGAGACTGATACTTTAGTTCACTCTTTCTCACCATTCCTTTATTCTTTTTGAGTAATTTCTGCATACTTAATATAGTTTGTTAAATAAACTGTCAAGATTTGTCCCTGGTACACTCTCTCATGCCTACCTGTCCTTTAATGTTCACTTGCTTCAAAGATAAGAACTTCAGTAATGCATATGAGTTTGTCCTTTAAAAATTGTCTGTATGTTGTTGTTCAAATAGTAGCTGAATAGGACACAGCACAGAACTTTGAGGTATGCTTAAATTTAAGAAGTTATAATGTTTGAACCTTAAAGCTTTAGAAATATCTTATTTTGTCTTGTAAGAGAGGCATTGCAGGGGTTGTTTTTATTGCAAACCATAGAACAGTCTGTCTCAAAGCTTTAATCTGATAATATTAAGCAATAAAACACCAGGACATTCATTCACTTTTAACCGAGCCTTGCGTTTTAATGTTTTTATCCAAGCTACACCTTAAAGCACATGAAAGAATTTCCTTTTAAAACCTTTTAACCCACACTGATCTTTTCTTGTTTGATATTAGAAATAATTTATTGCAAGACACAAAAAAAGTTTAGCTTATGCCACTATATAAACCTTCTCAGATTATCTGAGGATTATCATGGAGTTCATCCCTTGCTCACAGCCACTTGCTTCTAGGGATGTAAAAATCAAGGTTGTAGCCCTCACTGTTCATTTTAAGCATATTTAGATGCGGGAAAAATCCTGTACAAATGCATTGGAAAGAAGAGGTCTCTTGCTTCTGTAGAGTTTCTTGTATGCCTGGATAAAACCAGACTGAGATTTAGCTATGAATAAATTCATTGGTATAAACATTTCCTTTGTTATAACTGGGGTTTTTATAGATCTTAAATTATTTGGTTTTGTTGTTGAAAAATCACATTTTATATTCAGTTTGATTGGTGCACTAATTAAGCCATTTTTTTATTCACTTCTAGGCAGCTTGTGAGGGAAATATACAGATGTCGCCACTCTCCACAACAAGTGGATCTGCAAATTCTGGTGAAAACAGTACAGATGATTATAACGAGTAAGTGGTTCTGGTTTATATTCGAAGCCTCATTTTAGTGCAGAATGTAGAGCCATTAAGGGATATAAATCTTAGTGGTTTGATTTGGCATCAGCAATGTAGAATTTGACAACAAAATAGTACATCTTCTAGGACTTAGTTGATAGAGTTACTAACTAACTGATGCTACACTGAATAATTCCCCCATTGTGCCTCCTTCTGGAACCAAATGGATTTGTCATATGTAGGCATTACAGAATCACACAGAATCACAGAATGTCAGGGACTGGAAGGGACCTCAAAAGATCATCTAGTCCAATCCCCCTGCTGGAGCAGGAACCTAAATGAGATCACACAGGAAGGCGTCCAGGCGGGTTTTGAATGTCTTCAGAGAAGGAGACTCCACAACCTCCCTGGGCAGCCTGTTCCAGTGCTCTGGCACCTTCACTGTAAAGAAGTTACTTCTGAAATTTAAGTGGAACCTCCTGTGTTCCAGTTCCTTTTCGTTTGCTTTATATGTAAGATGCATTCCTATGCACTTAAACAAGTAGCATATTAACTTAGAACTTTTGGTAAACAGAGTAATATTTAGCATTAACAGCTATCTGTGAGACCCTATGTTTTATAGATCTTCTCTTCCTGAAGCTTCACTGTTTATCATCAGTGAAGTTTCTGACAATGTACACTAAAGGCTGTATTTTCATTGTGTGTGCCCATAAAAGAAACCATTCATCTCTGCTTGTTTAGAACAGTGCCCCAAAACCCAAATTACATTGTCAAGTTATATGCATAGTAAGAAAAGCAGCTTGGAGGCTGTGTAGTTACTTCATACATACAGTATTTGAGCAATTAAGAGAGATATTTATGCAGAGTTCACGGGTACAGAATGAATACTCAAATATTTTATTTCTCTTCTTTTGGTCTGAAGAGATATTTCCATACTGATGTAGATTTTGGGAAACTGACCCACGTGAATATGCACCAACATAAGTAGTAGATGAAGGTCAAAGTGATAGCATTTTGAAAGCTAGTGGTGTCATTATCTTTAAGTCAAATATGGAAATTTTAGAGTACAGAAGCAAATGTGGTGACTTGTACATAAATTAAGAGACAAAGAACTCCAACTTTTAAGTGACCTTGCAGATTTCATGTTTTATTCTTGCAGGCTCCTGCACAAGGTCAGTAAAGAACTGGCAGAATGGTATTTCCAGGATGGCCATGCAGTGCTTGCAGCATGTTGCCATCTGGCTGTTGAAAATATAGAGGTAATTTTTTTTTCTTTCTTTAGCTATGGAAAGGCTAACATTGACTTCATTTTTACATCTCTATGTGTTAACTATTTTTTAAAATGCATGTGCCACAGTCTAAAATGTATTACTTATACTTGGTATTTGAGTTTGATCCTTACAATATTGAAGCTGGCAAAACTCCCCTGATTCTATTAAATTCAAGATTTCTCTCATGCTCAGAAAGTAGTATGTTATTATTTAATTGTATTTTCATATATACAGTGTCTTGTTATATTAGAAAACATAAGGTACCTAAGTACCTTACATATATACATATACACATAAGTGTTACTGTTTACTGTTTATGCTGACTCTAAAGACTCATTCAGAACTGGAACTTCACTGTGCTACAAAAAGAGGCAATCTCTACCTTGAAGAATTTGCAGTCTACATGGTGAAGTAAATAGGAAGAATACCCTACCCCTCAGTACAAAAACAGGCCTGACACATAGGAAACACTTTATTAGATTTTCATTTTGTTGGTAGCTTTACAAATTTTTCTTTTCCTCATCCTCTCTGGATTTTGTTTTTGCTGGCTCAACACATTCTTCCTCCTCTATCCTCCAAATAAGTAAAATCTTAAAGAGCTGTTCAGAGAGAAAGCAATAATCGGTATTTCAAAACAGACATATTTCAAGTTGCTGTGTACTCTCACAATATATTTAATATTATTTAATATTCTGCTATGCCTATCAGCAACTCCAGTTGCCCAGAGAGGGTAAGAACAGGAGAGTCCTTGGTTTGGTTTGGGTTTGGTTGGGGTTTTCGGGTGGGGTTTTTTTGAGTCTCCTTTCATCAAAATAAAGGGGAGATATGTACTCTGAAAGCTAGTGTCCTTACTGAAGACTAGAAGGAATTGCTATCATGCTTATTACGTATAATATTTACATAATCTCTTTGGTTGAAGAAAGGAAGATTCTGCTCTAGTTTAACCTATTTGGTTATATGAAAACTGATTAACACGTAGTGCACAACTATTTACTTATTCGAGAAACCCAAATTATATATAAAGTTGCTTTAATGAATGCATATTTTATCCTTCTGTAAAAAGCAGTCTCATAAATGAATGTTATATGCTCAACGTGGTGAATCCCCAAAAATGCTTATGTCCCTTAATGATATAATTTTTTCATTGAGCAAGCTTGCGATGGCAAACCTGATTCGTGGAAATGAACTGGAGTTGGCAATCAGTGTGGGTACTGTCTTAGGAGAAAGTGCAGCACAAGCAACACATTATGCCCTAGAATTACTAGCAAGAAAATGTATGACAGTAACAACATGGTAAGAATTTCTTAATCCAAAGAAGAATTTTTTTTTTTTTTCCTCCTGACAAAATTATAAAGGTGCTTCATTCTGAAACTTTTATAGACACCAAACCATCATGGGTAGGTAGAATAAGAATTTCTGCTTGAATAAGAATTGCTGCAAGACTTTTGAAGCACAGGGCATGCAAATGTTCTGCCTTAATCTCAAAATATATTATGTATGCACTGTAAATGAGAGAGGAGTTGTTGTCGAACAGAGTATGAAACCCACTGAAAAAACCTAGAAACTTGGGCAATAGGTAGCATAGTAGATCCTCGTCTGTACTGAGTAATAACGACTGCATCACACAAAGTAAAGCTAGAACTGAATTATAAAGTCAAAAGGAAAAGAAGCTTAAGTAGGATCTGTGAAGTGATTTTTAAGTACTTGCTTGAAAAATATAAAAATCTGAGGCTGAGGAATTATTTTATACTGGTATTGGGAATACCAGATAGCTGACGATTTAAGGATGAAACGATTACTGTTTAATTCTGCAGGAGTAGGTCATTTCTCTGTTGCATACAGAGGAAACTTTATCTCTGCTAAATTTTCTTTTCCTCCTTGTAGTGGTTTTACTTTGAAGGATACAGTTTTGGTCTGTTTTTTATCTACCAATGAAAAGGAGAAAATCATCCTAAGGTATATTTGGCAGCTGTACAGGTGTTTTGGAATTAACATTTCATAGAAAACGTGTGCTTAAACAGATATTGGAATTAATCATCAGTTTTTCTTCTCCAGTTGGTATTTGATTAAGCACATAGGAGTAGCCTGAGAGAAACATAGTGAAACTCCTCTCTACAGAGCATTTAGCCTGCCTTAGACAATGCAGGAAAAGATAAAATAAGAAATTGATGACTTGCTGCTTTGATTTTGCAATGATTTAACATGTCTGAATTGCATCAGTTCTAACAGGGTTGTTTTGGCAACTCTGCAGTTTTTAAAGTTTCTGAAGCTCTTTGCCTTTATTGTGCAGAGTGAATTTTATGTAGCTTCTGACAGGAGGCACTGGACATGGAGTAAGAAAAACAGTGTATATTTTTTCCAGTTCTACAAAAAAAACCTTGTACTGATCTCAGTGCTGTAACAAGTACTTATAGTAGTATGGCATTTACATGTATGTACATAAAAGTCGTGCAAACTTATGATAGTGTACACTGAAGGCTACATGGGTATATGGGATAAAATTTTAAATTTATATACTGGATGTTGCCCAAGTATACCTCTGGATTTGTCAGTGGGTTTCATATGCTATACTGAAGACCTGTTAAAGTGACACTATGCAATCCTTGATTCTGATTTGCAGCCATTACAGCATATTTTTCTATTCTGTAGGAAAAGATCAGAGATTCCTGAATCTCTTTGTATTTTGTAATAAAGAGGTACTGGCACAGCATAGTACCCCTTGGTCCACTGCATGTATGAGATCACGTATGGGGAAGCTGGAGTTCAAGGGCCTCTGATATCTGAAGGGGGGTCTCTTTTTGGTTTTACTAGTTGTTATGCTTAGGGATATTCATCAATTGGAAACATTACATTGTAGAGACACACTTAATTGTAAACACCTCAAGGAATATCGATGGACCTTGATGGATTATTAATGAAATCCCTTATTGGTGGAATGTTTTGGGGGGTTTTGGGGGTTGGGTTTTTTTGGATTGGTTTTGTTTTGTTTTGGTTTGGTTTGGTTTTTTGTTTTTTTAGAAGTGCTCTAAAGTATGAAATCAAAACAGAAGAAGTCAAAACTAAACATTCATGCCCTTTCCCATCTTTCCAAATCTCAACCTTGGGTAAATGTGTTGAGTGTTTTCACCATTTTCATTTTTTGTGTTTAGCACCTAAATACTGTTAAAGGCAACCTTCTATTATTCAGAAGGCTACTTGACATACTGAATTCTGCATATGCAGACCCAGCCAGATTATTTTGTTCTTTATACTGACAGTGTTTTCAGTTTGATCCAAGATAACACAATTTGTAGGCAGTTACATGAGGACTTCTTTGGATTTTTTTTTTTTAATAAATATTTGATTTCAGTTTTTTGCCTGAGAAATTTTTATTCACTTTAAAAATGTTTAAAGTGCCTATGAAGACGAGTACATGTGAGTAACTGATCTTGAAAATAGTTGAAGAACTTGTGAAATATCCTGTACTCTGACAGAGCCTTTCTGTATCTTGGTAAAGTGGCTATTGCATGGTAATAGCATAACAGATTTTCCAAAGACCTGGCATTAGCTTCTTTAGGTTGTCAAAAGGCATTGGAAAGCTATTTTTTTGTTGTTAAGTTGGTTAACCTGACCCTTAGATTTGCTGTTGTAGTTTAATTATTTTCTATTAGACTTTTCCTCTGTAAAGTAAGAATACAAAACAAAGTTTTGTTTATTACTGTTTCAATGTCTTCCTTTTAGCTTTCCATCACTTGGATACAGGTATTTTGTGTGTTTATAGAGAGAGAGAAATTTGCAAAGTGTGTGACTTTACTAATGCTAAAAATAAGCTTAAACTAAGTGTTCTAATTTTTTAATTGTGATCAATATTTGAAAATGGGATAGAAAGCAGTTGTAATATTGGACAGTAGCTTACTGGAACATTTTTAAGCCAAGGACTGTATTCTGAAAATCCAGGGAAACTCAGTAGGAGTTTTTGCCTTATACAGGGGCAAGTCAGTCTTGTTGGGTCATGGGAGAAATGATGTCCGCATGAACAGAAGAGTCACAGAACAACCAGAATAATCAGTTATTAAAAGCTCAATAGAATAATTGTTTCAAAATAATTTATTAATATTTACATGTGTTCCCTCCAGCTGCTTGTTGTGATAAGGAGGAGGTAGCAAATGGTAAAAAGTTGGGACTATTTCAGAAATGTCAGTTTGCTAAAACACAATTTTCCTTTCAGAAGGATGAAAATAGGTATCACATTCTTTTTTTGTATACTCTCTCTTTTGTAATATCACAGAAGCACTAGCCATTCTGAGTGACTGAGAGATGCTTTATGCTGATGTCATGAAGCTATAGGAGCCTGCAAGTTTGAGGATGGTTTAATGACACAGAGCCACGTTAACATCTTTCCTTCTTTCAGATTGGATATGTCCTACTCTCCCTTCCCATCCCTGCTCACATATTCTTCCATCTCACTTTGAGATGGTTCTGATGCTTGAGGATTGCACAGCTGTTTAATTCCCAAAAAAAGATGAATAGATTAAGCTTCACTTATTGCACCAAAATAGTCTTAGAGACTGAGGTTGCTTCTGCTCTTCTCTGGAAAGAATATTTTTTTTCAGTAAACTCTTCATTATAAAAGGAATGTAAAAGAGAAAACAGAGTTTCCTCCTATTACAAACCAGCAACAGTAACTACTTGTCATCTTTTGTTTGTGCAGGGATTTAGCAGCTGATCTTATGATGATGATTCCTGATAATAAACTGCAGTTGGTAAAACTATGTGCTTTTTATCCTGGATGCGTAGCAGAAATAAATGACCTGCATGAAAAGGTACAATGAAAAAGAATTTACCTGAATGCTGACAAGAGGTTATGTATTGATTTGTTTGCTAATTTCAGAAAATTTAAGGCCACATAAATCTGTAGGATGAATTTGAAACTAACAGTCTTATATGTGGATGCCCCCTCCCTGGAAGTGTTCAAGGCCAGGCTGGATGAGGCCTTGAGCAACCTGGTCTAGTGGGGGGTGTCCCTGCTGATGGCAGGGGGGGTTGGAACTGGATGAGCTTTAAGGTCCCTTCCAACCCAAACCTTTCTATGATTCTATGTTACATACCCTTTTTTACTCCTTTAGACTTCATTAACTTGTTTTCAGTATTGCACAAAAAGGACTTTAGTTCTTTAATTCCATTCTGTGTGTAGTCTTTTCATGACATGGGTTGCTTCCTAAATTAGCTTATGATCTTCAGAATTACCTATCAGCATGATTTCTAACCTCGTCATCAGTAAAGTACAGCCTAATCATGACTTGGCAGATAGCTTTCTGTATTATCCTGAATTGTTTTACATCTTATGTCTGTAATCTCCTTAAATCCCCACTTTTGTCTTCAGCAGCAGAAGGGTCTGCTCCACTAATTCCCTTAATGTTCAACTCAGACTGCGTATCTATTAAGCTGTAGTAAAAAGTTCACAAAAACATTAGCAATGGAAACTGGTACTGCTTAAAGTTACAGAACCTTCTCCTCCTGTGTTGTTCTCTGGTCTAGATGGCTTTCTTAATGTGCACTATGTGCAGGTATGTCCTTCAAACAATGACTCTTCTTTCAGAAAGAGTTTGATTTTATTGTTATGTGCAAATTTCAGTATTTCTCAGCATCTTAGAGAATTGTTTGAACATTACAATAATTTTTTGCCAAAATCTTTGTTTTCCAGTGTCATCTTCCTGATGTAGAAGAATGTATGCAATTGGCAGAGACAGTTCAGGCAGATGGGGATATATTTGAAACTATCAAGTACTATCTGTTAAGCACAGAACCTGAAAAGGCTCTCCCTATTGGCATTCAGTATGTGAAAGGTAGGTACTTGGATGAAGAAACCTTTTAAAGCATAAGTCATTTGTGTAGCTTGCCTCTTGAGATATTTTTGTTTCTATTTTTCAACAGAACAACTTAGTGGCTCAGATTGGACTTTAGATTCAGTCTGTCCATATCTTGATCTTCTGAGTTACATACGCACTGAACGATTAGTGTTGCATAAATGTAGTGAGTGAGTATATTTTCCTTACTTATAGAAGTGAAAGTTTCATTAAAGGAAACTTTTGGAATTAAAAAAAAATATAGGTGCATACTGTTAGTATAATTTTTTTTTTTTTCCCAGAAGAGGGGTACAAAAAAATTGCAACAAGCAGGCTACTTCCCAATCTCAAGAAAAGAATGTGGAATTTTCCTAAAACTTTCAAGGTTTAGCAAGAATAAAAAAGATATTTTACTGCTTCGTTGTCTGTGGGGCATTTACAATGTATGAATTAATGTTGGTCTTATTTGAAGAATCTCACTTTGATCAGCTCTGGTTTCAGTTTCCTAAAGAAAAAGAGCAGTGGTACCACACATAATAATGGGGGTTTATGTCAAAGTGTTAAGGAAATTGGAGCTGTCACTCTCAGAATTAACTCTAAAATAGTTGGATAGCTGTGGTTCACCTTTATGACAGGTGCTTGAAGGCCTGGGGGCCTGCACAGGTGTACATGTGAAGAACTAAAAAGAGCAAAAGGCTTAACTCTTTATCTGTGGCCTGTGGGGAAACTTGGTGAAACTGAAGTCCACTCTAATATGTGGGACAATTTTATTTACACGTAGAGTTTTACCACATTAAAAGGTCTGAGTGACATTGTTTTTCTAACTTTACTTGATTGTGCTTAATAACTGTGTGTTGTACATGCTATTTAAAATGTAATAATTGAGATGAATATAAAGCAGATGGAGTCTGTTTTGACCATTACATCACACAGAAAGTAAGCATAATCGTCAAACGTATATTCTCCACAAAAGATGGATGAGTAAATTAGGCTTTAAAATTATAATGTCAATATGAGTTTGTTTAATGTTTTTGCAAATGCTTGTTATTGTTCATGATTAATACTTGTCCATTTATAGATTTCGGAATGAGTTGCTGATTTTGTGTGGTTACACTGGTGCTTTACTTGCTATCAGAAGACAGTACAATAGCATTGTACCTGCACTTTATGAGTATACAAGGTAATATTATGTTTTCAGTAACACTGAGAAATCTCAGTCCTCACCCCTCACCCCCTCTTCCCCCCCC